AATACTGGTGTCCTTTTATTTATTTATTTATTTTCTCACTTGCGATGAAGGCTTCCAAGCTGGAGCATTAGATCTTGAAAAAACATGCCCGAACATTTACGATGAGGGTGTCATTGAGTAGATGGGATATAGTTATACCATTAAATCCGTTTATCTTATATTGCTACTACTATTCTTGTTTACCGTTCTTGTTGGGATCCACCGATAATGGTGGGATTTTTTTTTTGTAACACCATGGGTGTTGCCCTTGGAGTCTATATATATGTTTCTTGTAAACCCTAGGGTGTGCGTCCCTCCGGTCCTAAACAGTTCTTTCCTTTTTCTGTTTGCCATATTATCTTCTACAAACTTCTTCTTTCTTTTCTTTTTTTAACCTTGTTCATGTTATTATATTACAAGTTTGAAAATAACTCTCAATACAACTGTATCTAAAATTGTGCTCTAAAAGTTGACTTTTTTACGGCTTATTATTTGGTAGTATACAACAAGAAAGGCGAGGGAAAAGAAGGAAAAACGTGGGAAATTTATTTTCAATTGTATGGTTTTGTGGATGGAGAGGAAGGAAAATAACAATACAGAGTAATTGTGTGAGACCCATCTTGAGGTCCCACACAAATGATCGTTGTTACTCAATTTGTTTAAAATGTGTCAGATATCGATAAGGGCTTGATCAATTATGTGCTCAATTTTCAAAAATATTTTAAATAAATTAAGCTATTACGATTATTTGTGTGGAATCCCAAGATAAGTCCCACACAATTTCCTTCGTTATTACTCCTATTTTTTCTTCCTCCTTGCATTCCTTTTGCTAAGAACCAAACAAACCCTTGGGACTTTTTCTCTTTATAGTAAAGATAGAGGTACAGCAAATCAAAGGCTGTACAACAGCCGTGTAGAGATGATTTTTACCCTTGTCTCGGGTCCCGCAAAGATGATCGGAACCGCTCATTTTATTCAAAACATATTGTTTACGGTCTCTGTTAAAAATCATCTCAATCCGATATTGGTAGGAGCATTTACGAATCATCCAACTTTACTTCAGAATTTAGCATTTATAAATCATCTAACTTTGCTTTAACTTTGCTTTAGAATTTAGCCTAAATTCTGAAGTAAAGTTGGATGATTCGTAAATGCCCCTAGCGATATCGGATTGAAATGATTTTTTACAGAGGCTCTAAACAATATATTTTGAACAAAATAAGCGACTTCGATCATCTTTGCGAGACTTGAAATGGGCGCAAAAAACATCTGTACGCCGCTGCTGTACAGCTTTTGCTGTACCATTAGCAGCTCTCTTTGTTTATTTATAGTGCGAGCACGAGTATAATGACGAACAAAATCCTAATCATATCTATTATACGTATGTCCGGTACAAATATCGCGCGCTTTTCAGGAATCTAGGGCGTAAGCAATCTAGGGTTTCTAATTAGGTAAGCACCCGTTATTCTTCGTAAATTTATGCTGATTTTTCAACCCGTACCTGAAATTACTTTGTTTTATCGAACCAAACGCTATTTGGGTGAATTCGTGGGTTTTCCTTTTTGGTTTTTTTGTCTAATGTTTCAGCTAAATTCATCTCTATGTTGAGTCTGTACGGTTTATTTGGTTTCTTAGTGAGCTGATTGATAGGAGAGAGGTTGAAAGATTTCATCGTTGTGAGATGGGAACGAGCACTCACGAAGAAAGTGTTTCTTCTCGATGTTTTGAAATAATCACGAAATTAGGGTTTGTTTGGAACTTGTAGAAAAGAAGGGAACAAAAGTCTCTTATACTGTTTGATTGGAGAGAATAGCAAAATCAAGTTTTGAGCACTCTAAATTTTTCTCTACATGTTTCCCACAGTTTTTTCTTAGGAGCATTTTCTCTTCTAGTCCGTTCTCTTCCCCAAGTTCCAAACAGGGTGAAGCAATCTTTTCAAAGCGGTTCAAGCATTTTAGGACTAAACCGTATAGTTGAGCTTATGTGGGATCACCATGGGCCCACTTTGGTGATCGGAAACCTTCACCTTGTAGGGTATATGAAGAGGATAACTCCTTTTTCGAAAAGCATATGATATCATGAACAAACTTGTTCGGATGATGATTTTTCTAATGTTTGAGTCGTTTGACTGGCTCTGATCAATCGGAACTTTTTTTCTTTGCGGGTGTCCTTACAAACGGAACAGCTCCGATCACGATCATTGGCCTCATAGGAACAATTGTCAATCAGAATGAGATCTTAATGCTGTTTGTTTTTGAAGTTGGCAATAGAATCACAAGGAAAGCTCTGCACTGAAGGTGATTTCCATCTTGGGATCTAATATTGAATGAAAAAACCATGGTTGAAGTTTAAAAACAAAGTTGTGTGAAGGTTTCTGTTGGCCCTAGGTCGTTAGAAATGAAAAGTTTGGGGATCAAACTCTACAGTCCTTTCTTTTTTTCTTGTTGCGGCGGAGCAATCAATCGGTTAAAGGTGCCAATTTTTGATTGCTATGAACCCATTATTTGTAAATGCTAATTTTACAACCCTAAATAAAGTGTTTTAAGGGCATCTAACTGGGGTTTTTATTTCTGGCTCTAAGCTGTTTTGTGTTTTCTCGTGCATTTCTCGTTTAGGTTGTGAAGTAGTAGTTGCATAGTGGTTGGGAGAGGAGAATGGCTTCTTCAGATGACGAAGGCGAGGCCGTGCCACATACTGTCTCGAACTACCATTTTGTTGATGGCAACGAAGAGCCCATTTCGTTTTCAGAGTTACCAGTTCAATGGAACGATGTTGAGGGAGTGGATTGTGAGGGAAAACAGATATTCCTGCGTGGGACTGCTGACAATGGCCTTCTAATATATAAGCAGGTCACAGCATGGAAGTTCAACCTTTCAGATGTGAACCCGGAGATATCTGTGTTATCTAAGGAGAACAACTGGATTAATCTTCAAAAGCCTAGAAAGAGTTTCGAGGTCATAATCAGAACAATCTTGATCACCATGCATTTCCTATGCTTTGTGAGGAAGAACCCCGAAACCTTTGGGGGATCTGTGTGGGATAACTTGTCTAAAGTTTTCAGGTTTGCACCCATATCGCAGATTTTCAGGCTTTTTACCTTTCGTTCTCTTTTGTCTTATAGTACATAAATTGAGAGTTTTATGCTATGTACAGCTCCTATGAGACCAGACCTTCTGAGAATGATCTCATAGACCACACAACTTTTATCAGTGAAGTTGTTAAGAGGGATGAAACATTAGCAAACTCTAAGGTTCATACTATTTTCCCATTACCATCAGATTGATCTTCTTGTATGGTCATTTTAGTTATTTTGTTTATGAGCTCACTCTGCGGTAGGTTTGTGCATTGTAACAGTTTTTAGTTGCATTTCTTGAGAAGCCTGGGCAGAAGAAAGCTCTTGATGAGGTTATACTCTCTCAACTCTCTCTGTTTTTTAAAGCAATATGGAATTTCGTTAATAAGGGGTACAAAAATTAAAATTACACACGGATGGGACATCCACCAAGAGAGTGAATCATATCGCACAGGACTTTACCATTGTTACTAATCAGGAATGAAGGAGATGCCTCAAATGGTAGCGTCACTGAAGTCCAAAAGGAAGAGAAATAGCAAACTTTATCCCATATTCCTTAATCCTTAAAAATCTAGTTTTTCTTCTCTACCAACAATCGGATTTTCATAAGCCAAAGTTACACAACTTCAAAAAATGCCACCCTTTTGATTGTTGCCAAGATGTCTAAGTCATTCAATTGCAACTGGCACTACTAAATGGAGCCTTCTGCAGTGCAAACCACCACCCCCCCCCCCCTGCCCCCCTCCCCTCTCCCCCCGCTCTCTCCCCATGCACATTTCTTTTGGTAAGAGTTTATTTGCTGGTTTGGCAGGACAATGGAACAGTAAAACGTGTTGGGTTTATTGTGGATGATTATATGATGGATGAGATTGAAGAAGATGACGGATCCGATGAAGAAGTTGACCTATTTGATTCTGTCTGCGCCATTTGTGATAATGGCGGAGATCTTTTGTGGTATGCATTCTCTTTTGAGTGTTTTCTTCTGAACTTTTGGGCAAATTTTTTTTTTGGGTGCACTATTGTTAGTATTGTTCAACTACGCTAATATTTTCTCGGCCGTTATTCATGTCACAATTGTCGTTTTCCTCTGTGTGTTTTTTTCTGGTGACATTTTCTGAGTATAAATGATAGACTTAAAGCTCCAAAAGAATAGTATAGCTCAAAATAAAAATGATGAAACTTCCCGGCAACAAAAGTACTTATACATAACACGCCAAAGAGTATGATGGCAATAATAAATGGAGGAAAACATGCACCATGGTGTTTTCTTACAAGTGAAGTGAAAAATCTAAAAGTCATCAAAAGGGGATGCTACCGATGTATGTTAAACCACTATCATGTATACTGGAAGGAATATGTATCTTTCAATTGCGTTCCCATCATGTGTTACACCCCATATTTTCTTAGAACCACTGTGTCGCTGTTCTATCTGTGTGCTTCTTAGCCGCTCTACTCGCAAGATTTGAGTCATTTGACCATAGGACTGTCCCCGCCCTTTTACCATCTGTGCCTGATAAGTTAATCCTTGCTTTTTTTTTTATATCAATTTTCACTTGTATGTCTGAAAACTGAGAGTCCTGGTATACTTTTACTTAAGAATTGGAAACAGAATTTGGATGATGTAATGCCTTCAAAATGCTCTTTGTAATTGAGAGAGAATAATAAACTCCGAGCTATTGTTTATGTTCTAAAGATAATACATTCCTTCCATCCTGCTTATGAAAAAAAACCTTATTGTATTGAAAACGAACAAGTACTTACGGGAACATGTAGTTTTGGTCGGTTTTGGGTTGTTTTGACTCGGCATATTGTGTTTAGACATCATTGTAAAGAGGCTCGGCGGGGTTTCTATAGACAAAGGATTTGCAGGCTGAGGTGTGATGTGGTGATTTTTGTTCGCCATTTTTTTTAATCAGCTTAAACGAAGGAGGAAAACTGAAGTATGAAGATTTGGAGGTCCGGGGAATCGAACCCCGTGCCTCTCGCTTGTGAAGTTAGCACTCTACGATATGAGCTACCCCTATTGTTTGCCAGAACCCCGTGCCTCTCGCATGTGAAGTTAGCACTCTACCATATGAGCTACCCCTATCGTTTGCCATTATTTGGCCAGTCCTTTTTCTCTTTTGCTATCTTCTGATACTATCATAATTAGTATGGTCCACCTTTGGTTTACTTTGTTCTTTGTATTTAATTTCATTATGGCGTACTTATCTCTAGTTTGAGTGACACGTTTATTGGAGATTCCTTTTTTTTTTTTTCCCTTTCTCCAATTTTACAATTGGAAAGCAATTTATGGTGTATTCGATCTCATACAGTTGTGAAGGGAGGTGCATGAGGTCATTTCATGCTACTGTAGAAGCTGGTGCTGAGTCCCAGTGTGAATCTCTTGGCTTTTCCAGTGAACAAGTAGAAGTACGCTATTCTTCCATTTTTCTACCTGATGGGTTGCATTGTTCTGCTCGGTTCATGATGTTTTATGATTTTCTATCACACTAATTTCTTTTTTGATTAGTAGATTCTTAGCAGGCTTTTTAAAATTCATATATGCATTTTCAGGCAATGCAGATTTTTTTCTGTAAAAATTGTCAATACAAGCAGCACCAGTGCTTCTCTTGTGGGGAATTAGGCTCTTCTGATAAGTTGTCCGGTGCTGAGGTATGATAACCTTCTGGAAATTGGACTATTTCTTTAATGTCAACTGACCATATCTCCCACTTGAACTACTTTTTCTGTTTGGAGACCACGTACAAGATTTGGAGTATGTGTTTGCCCTAACATTAGAAGGGAGGTATGAGATATTTACTTGCGTTGAGAACTGCTTGACCAAACCATGGGAGGGGAATCCAAGACATCTCTAGCACAAGTGATGCCATGTGGAAGAGCTGGGTGTCTATACCAGCCACATTTTTCACTTTTTTGTGCACAGTGATTGGATTTGTTTCGGAATTGCTCAAATTTCTACGTCTTAAATACTTTTCAGGTTTTCCCCTGTGTTTCTGCAACTTGTGGCCGATTTTACCATCCACATTGCGTTGCAAAACTGCTCCACCGTGAGAGTGCTGCTGACGTGGAAGAATCTCGTATGAAGATTGCTGCTGGGGAATCTTTCACATGTCCCATTCATAAATGCATTGTCTGCAAACAGGGTGAAGATAAGATGGATCCTGATTTGCAGTTTGCTGTATGCAGACGGTGTCCCAAGTCGTATCACCGAAAATGCTTGCCTAGGTACTGCTTAATTGTGGCCATTTCTTGTTTCTGAACAAGGTTATAAAATCTTTTGGCCTACATTTGGTCTCTGGTGGCCGATGCTTGGTTTGTTGTCATCAGGAAAATTGCTTTTGAAGATCTGGATGACGAAGGCATCATACAAAGGGCTTGGGAAGATCTTATTCCCAACCGTATTCTGATATACTGCTTGTACGTGCTCTTACGTTTCTAGTTGCTTTTCTTTGTGATCTCACAGTTGCTTGCAGATTATGAACTGGCATTTGTCTTTTTACCAGAAAACATCCAATTGATGAAGAAATGGAAACTCCGATTAGAAACCACATAAAGTTCCCAGATGATGGACGAAAAACGACGAAACAAGCATCACATCAATTCCCAAGCAGAGAGAAAATTTTCAACAGAGAGGGAAGTCTGGCACGTCAGGATACTCCCAGAGAGAGAACTCTTCGCAAAGCACAGAAAGGTGTTGAGTTATCTTCAACTATCCAAGAGGTTGATTCTTCAAAGAAGAAAGTGAAAAGATCGAATGACCCTGATTTTTCCAAGAAACAAAAAGTGGCTGATACATCCTCAAAGCCTTTGAACAAAACTGCCTCTACAGGAGTCAGCAAGTCCACTCCTGAGAGGTTGCATGCCTCAAGCAATATGGGTCCTGAGTCAATTATCTCTAGTAAGAAGAGCACACCTAATTGTGAACATAAGCAAACCCTGAAACTAGATGATGATGCAAAGCAGAGGTAACAGATAGTTGTTCCATCACGTATCATATCCTGTGGATGTATTGGTTTAATGCGTTTTTTACTCTAATTGGCGTTGACAATAGAGCGGCCCTAGATGCAGTAATCGACTTGAATGCTAGTACATTTCCTTGGTCTTATTCTGTTTCCTGCTATGCAGAATGTTGGCTTTAATTAAACGTGCTACATCTTCTATCACGCTGGATGAGATAACAAAAAAGCACAAAGGACCAAATATGCATGGCGTTTCACCAAAACATGTAGTGGATAAGTCCAATACGTTGGGAAAAGTGGAGGGTTCTGTTGAGGTATCTACCTTCAATATCCTGTGTATGCAGTGGTTTCAATGGCGTCATTGTTTGTCTTGCTCTTGAGCTGACATGCATCTGCAGGCTCTTTGTGCAGCCTTAAAGATGCTAGAAGCAGGTTGCAGCATGGAAGATGCAAAAGCAGTGTGTGAACCTGGGCTTCTCCATCAGATGGTTAGGTGGAAGGTGATTGTCGTTTTACTATCCTGAACCTTTTTTCCCGGGGTTTCTACTGATCTCTTGTAGTTAAATTGAGTTAATCGAGTGGCACCTCTTTACACTTGCTTTTCTGTTCATTGTATCAACTTTGGTTGGTCAACTTGACCTGAAAGATTTGGTGTTTACTTTTACACTTGATGCATCTAGCATGGAAGAATCACCCCACCTATTTCACTCTGCCTTCTATTGCCTTGAATGGATCTTTGTGACATCACAGTTGACAGAAGGTTCAAGTACTTGTGTCTTGATGATTAGATGGATAAGTGAACGTCTCTTAGAGTACACCTTAGAAGCTTAGGTTGCATTCCCCGACTAAGTAGATTAAAAGTTGAGTCTCCTTGACATACCCTTTAAGAAATAAGAAAAGGAACCTTGGTTGGATCTCCCCCTCCCCCTCCCCCATCCCTCTGATAATAAGTTTATGCATTGATATGTGTTCTATCTGACCTCAAGGCTTGGTTTGGTGATATGTTATTGTTAGGGATAGTTTTGATAAAGCTCATTCTAGGACTGCTGTTTCTCTCGACCAGTTCCTCCCCATTTTTTCTTGAATCAAATTCTTGTTGGTAACAGTGAAAGATTGTCTGGTTTGCATAAATCATACTCTGTCATCATCTCTACTACAAATTACAACCACAGAATGAGATCATGCTGCAGACCTGAGGGGTGCTGGTATGCCTATTTCAGATCATATGGCTACGCTCTATCAATTATGGAGACAGATGGGATATGGATACAAATTATACAATGATATGAAAATGCCTAAATAATAACAGCTAGGGTACATTACTACATTCCTACTAGTGCATATTTTTATTGTTTTTGGTGTTGTACTAAAGATCTCAAGAATGGTAAGAAAGCATTTTGATCTTCTGATGGACAAGACCAATAATTTGAAATAAAGTAATAATTTGGTAAACTTGATGTTTTTTTTAGTCCATAGGTTGTATACAGATTTCATTTGAATACCTATACAGTTACAGCAGATGCGACACCCTTATAAAGTATCTGTGCTTCGTATGCATCAGTGTTCGACAGTTCAGTGTTCGGCTTGGAATTTCTCCTCCAAGGATATTCTGTTTCAATTACGAAGTATTTTCTAGGTGTTAGTGGTAACTGGTCATAGTCCTTCGTGGTTTTATTTTTTGTTAATTGTTGTCCTTTTTAGTTGGATTCATTCATCCCCATCCAACATCTTTTATTTGGCTGGTTTGCTATTGTATTTTCCTCCGCTAGAAGTTTACTGCACCAGCGAGCACATGATTCTAGAATAAATGGGATTATCTTTTCGCATCTGCTTCATTGACATCTGATATCATTGTTGTTTTTATGGGTTTCATTGATTCCTATTGCCGTAGACCAAGCTTAGAGTGTACCTTGCACCATTTCTCCATGGGGTGCGCTATACATCTTATGGACGCCATTTCACGAAAGTGGACAAGCTGAAAGAGGTGAGTCAAATATGTATCATGCTTTCCCATATAAAATCCATGCTTAGAAATCATCCTTGTGTTTGCACTATTAAGTCAGCTAATATCGTTTTGATGATTCGTGGTGCAGTCATTTAGAGTTAAGTTGAATTTGATTAAGTGTGTTATGAAGTTGGTAGCGGATCCCATAAGTGGGAAGATATGCGAATGTTAGTTAAGAGTTTAAACTTCTGAAAACGAAGTTTTGCAAGACTCTCATGGTTTTTTTTCAAAGGATTTTTTTCCTGTATTTTTATTTTAATTTTCTACTCTATGTGGATATGCATAACCACTAGAGATGAGCTTATCTAAATGCATAAATCCTGAAAGGTCATTTCCAATATGCAGATTGTCGATAGGCTCCATTGTTATGTACAAGATGGCGACATGGTAAGCGTTTGTGCTCTCCTATCCCTTAATTTCTTAGACATTTTCTCAGTGAAAACACCATACCAGACATGTTTTTACCTTTAAAAAAAAGGATGAAAAATTTGCCATAACCACACAAAAGGTTTTGCCGTTTATTAAAAAATTGTTATTTGCGACACAAACATGTTTGATGTCTGTCTTGAATCTTTTGATTTCTAGATGAACTTGAAACATTTTTGGAGTGTCTACATTCTGTAAAATAAAGAAAAAGCTGCTTTTTCCCTTTGTTTTTGCAAGCAATTGCTCATTTCCTCCACCCACCATGTCAATTTATGGCCACCCCAACTTCAGCCACCACCTCCGGCGAGTCCTGCATCTGGTGTTCCAACCATTCGGTTGGCTGGGTTAGTTGAGCAAATGAAGTGTGCAGGATACAATCTCATCAAAATAATTTAGTGTACTCAGTAGAGAGAGTATGGTTAATAATGTGATGTACCGTTTTTTTTTTTATCTGCATAATGTGATGTACTTGTTAGTCCCAGTTGTATTATAAGTTAATTGGAGAACCTAATTGCTTATTGCACCTTTAAACAGATAGTTGACTTCTGTTGCGGAGCTAATGATTTCAGTGTGCTCGTGAAGAAGCAGCTTGATGAGACAGGGAAGAAGTGCTTATACAGAAACTTCGATCTTTTACAAGCAAAGGTAAGCTGTACATTTCCTAATAAAAAATTTCTGCCTGTCAGGTATCAGTC